TTTTTGAAAGTGAACCAAAATAACTCATACTATTTCTGGAAGTATAACAAAAAACTAACAATATTTATGAAATTGAACCAAAATAACACATACTATTTATGGAATGGACCAAAATAAATATTATTTCTTGAACTATAGCAAAATAACCTACACTACTTCCGAAGGTGAGCCACTATTTCTTGAACCACAACAAAATAACTCACATTATTTATGAAACTATTGTATAATAACTCACACTATTATTTCTAAAAATGAACCAAAATAATTCACACTATTTTTGAAACTACAGCATAATAACCCACACTATTTATGGATCTACAACATAATAGCTCACACTATTTCTAAAAGTGAATCAAATTAACCCACACTATTTTTGCATCTACAACATAATAACTCACACTATTTCTAAAAGTGAATCAAAATAACCCACACTATTTTTGGAACTACAACATAATGACCCACACTATTTTCGAAAGTAAACAAAAATAACACACCCTATTTCTAGAACTACAACATAATAACCTACATGATTTCTAAAACTTCAACATAATAATCCACACTATTTTTGAAAGTGATCCAAAAGAACTCACACTATTTATGAAAAGTAACAAAATAAACACAATTTCTGGAACTAGAACAAAAGAACTCACACGAATTCTAGATTTGAACAAAAAATAATGCACACTATTGCTGGGACAATTACAAAGTTGTACACTATTTATGAAACTGAAGAAAACACACACTATTTCTTATGGTTCTACAAGATGCTAGGTGCTAGTTGAGTGGTAGACTAGAGCTTAACGTCTCGACGGGGTCTAGGTTGGGCCTAGGCGAATGTAGGTAAATTTATTATTTATTTTTAGTAATTTGGTGAATTTGATAGAATGAGATGAAATTTTAAATAATTACAACTCCGTGGTCCGTTTATCACATCCTGGCCCGAGCCCTCACCACATCTTGGGCTCGACTCCACCGTAGCACGATATTGTTCGCTTTGGGCCCCGACCACGCCCACACGGTTTTGTTTCTGGAAACTCACATGAGAACTTCTGTGACAACTCATCCCTAATTTTAAGTTTTATAAATTTTAAAGTAGTGATTTTATGAAAATGCCCTTAGATGCGAAGATGCTTGACTTTCATTGATTGTTCGAAGTCACAATTAATGTCTCCGAATAGATCTCCAAGCCGCAAAAGTCGTTTGCGAGTCCTGGATTTTAACGGTATGGTTACGGACATTTGAAGTCGTTTTACTAAGCTATGAATTTTAGATTGATTAAAACTCCCACCATGTGGGAATTGTAACCAATCAAGGTTGAGGACTGGCCCAATCATATTATTTTTTAGGACCAATCAGAGATTGGGGGGGTGGGGGGTGGGGAAGGAGGGACCAATTAGGAATGGTGAGAAAGAACCACCCTTTCCCGTCGATCCGTCCATGCTCCGTAACCCGGTTTTGAACTAGTATGAATTCTAGCCAATCTCATCCATTTTTCAGGTAAAACTCAACCATCCATCACCCGCAATCTCTTCTACAACCTCCCCTCTACCATCTCCACCCAAATTCAAAGAGTTTTAGGTCCAAAACCGTGTAGAACCTTGCCGGAGCGCTGAAGGTGCTCGACGGTGATTCCTTCCATCCGGCGAGTTCTACCACCCACAACTACCCTTAATCAACCTCCCCTGGACCCAGGAACAAGACCCAACTAGTGGTAGAGACGTTGGAACACCGAGGAAGGAGAATCGAAGTTCACCCATTTTAGGGTTCTGGTGGGTTTGAGTGAAATTGGAGCCTTCCCCGGCCAAATTGGACTTGGTCATAGGTATAAAATTTGCTTTAATCTTTGAGATCTTCATTTTTATAAATTTTGAGAATTTTTGGAGATAGTTGAATTTTCAGGCAAATCGGGGGTGCCCGACCGCCGTGTGCGGCGGCGAGTGAGCCGAGTCACACCCTGACCTTCCTAAGCTAAGTTTGACACACCATTTCCATAGGTGAAGTCTAATTGATGAAATCTCATCATTTGAACATAGTTTTGATAAAGACCACTACTTGAACATTATGTGAAATTGATGATCCGACCGTTGGATTGTCACCAAACCTTAATACATTATAGTATGTAATATTTGAGGATATTAGAAACTTACAGATTGGGAATCTAAAGTACAATTCTTCCCGAATTGGATTTGTAAGTTTGTAAAATAAAACGTTGACCGCCACTTGAATTTTGCAATTGGCGGAGATCCAACCGTTGGATCGTAATGAAACTTTAGTATAATGTTCTAAAAGCATAATGTGGATCTTTAGAAGTTACGGATCAGAAATCTGAGATGCGGATCTTCCAGATTGAGTTACGTAGGGTTGTGGACCCTACTGTTGATCTTTGATCGACAATTGATTTTTGATCAATGGGTCTCAAATCATTCTAAAACGTCATTGGGAATGTGTTTTATGTAAATTACGTGTTCTATCGATAATAATTATGAGACATGACTGAATATTTGTTCTAGGCAACGATCGTTCGTGACGCCTCGATATTCGTGCTAGGGACCTGTTGTGCAGACCTCAGGTGAGTAGGTCTTTTCATTTTTATAGTATATATATGATTGGTAGTTCCACAAATGCTTTTAAATTGATTTATCCATTTTATGCCATGTTAATATATATTTTAAAATACTATGATATGGTTGAGTTTTAGATTGCATCATGGCATATCCATATGCATATTACCTGCACATAATTGTTGTGAATGCTTGGAAGTGCTAAGGTGAACGTGGGATGCGTAGGTAAGTTCAGGTGAGTTTATGGTGTTATTTGAAATGATTGAGTTATGGCTTGACTATATTTATGTTTTATGCAACTTTAACACTGCCGTACAGGCTGCAATAGGCAACTCCGACACTGTTGTACAGGTTGTAATAATAGATAACTCCGACACTGTCGTACAGGTTGCAATAATAGGCAACTCTGACATTGTCGTACAGGTTACAATACTAGGCAACTCCGATATTGTCGTACAGGTTGCAATGCTAGGCAACTCCGACACTGTCGTACAAGTTGCCTATGACTCATACAGGTTGCATTAGACAACTCTGACTCATGTGTTTTCATAGATTGATTTATGAGTCGTACAGGTTGCGTTAGGCAACTTTGACTCGTGTGTTATCATAGATTGATGAGCACCTGATTTTTTTTATATACTGCTGCCGATATGTAGTGATTTGGAATATTCCTGGATTTACTGTTGATTTACATTTGATTTCATACTTATACGTAGTATGATTTCCTGGAAAATATATAGGTATTACAGCGAGGGATTATAACGTTTAGAAGGTCTATATTAAAGCGTTATTTTCAGGCCCACTCACTCTTGTTTTTTATCCCTCTAGGTTCTAGTATCAAAGTTTTCATATCGACGAGGATTCGTGGCAAATCTTGGTATTGGAGATTACCTTCGATGGTATGATTTTCAATCCACTCTACTATACTTTACTTATGCTGTGACGTCACGTGTGAAATGGGTTTATTTCCGCTCACAGCGCACTCTTGTATTTAGGCACTTTTAGGTTTAAATTTATTCACATTTTCCATATCACTACACTGTATGGCTTCGCCAACTTCCAGGTGGCGGCCAGCACAACTCGATTTGGAGTCTGAATGTTGTCATTGCCTCTGTATTTATAATTCCCTGGTAACCGTAGGATTACTGTCATAAGTTACGAAATAATTGGAATATTCTCTCAAATATGCATGATCCCGCTTGGCGTGGCCTTGATGATTTCATAGAAACCAACTGAGACTCAAACTCTCAAAAGCCTAAGCCGACTTAGACTTCTTATTGCTAATTATCCCAAATATCTATGTTGAGTGAATCTGGCTCCATGAACAACCATATGCTGACCCACGATGCAAAAGCTTATGCCAATATGCTAAATCATTTAGCATAATCAGCAAGATAATTGTTGCCATCTTATCACCACCACGTGTAGAATCATCTTTCAAGCACATCACCATTTTTACTTCACCTTTATCCCATTGTTCCATGTGGTTCTGCATGCGCATCCATTCAAATATGGAACCCATGCAACTAACTAGATACCAAGCTGCACAAAACTCTCCTTACTGCTGCATTAATTGCAAATGGTTAGCAAGCAGCCAACTGTGCAATCTCTTTTAATTTCTCCATGATCCAATAAAACTCTTGATAATCTGCAAAAGAATCCCACGAGTATCTCTGCAAGCTTTAAGGATATTTTCAAGATAATTACTATGATTAAAATTAATAGTAATTCCAAGAAAAATCTCTTAATTTTCATAATCATCCGATGGCTTCAATCACTTAGGTCGAAAATGTAAAATCGGGTCCAAACACATATATATTTGAACAAGTGTTTCTTTGGAACCCCTATTTTTTAAGCAGCTGAACAAGTGTTTCTTTTCCCCGCTGTGTATCAGTTGATATTGGTGTTGTACTTGTTATTACAGGGTTATTTGATTGAATGCTTAGCACGGAGGATCATCAACTTTGAACGATTTAAATGTTTTTTTGTTTTGTGTGATGATAAATCACTAATCAGCTAATGTGGAAGCACTTCTTTAGCATTTGTCTGCTTAATAGATTCTATCTGCTTAATAGATTCTATAGATTCTATCTGAAACTTTCTATGGTTTCTGGTATTAGAACCAGAAGGTCCCCCAATCATGAGTAAAAAGGGCAGTAAGAAACGTGCACCAACAATGGATTTGAATCCTCCAACTCTCAAAGACATCCTTGAAATTGGAAAGAGTTTCCTATACTTGAGACAGAACAAGAAGCACCATTTGAGATTTGGAACTACTGTCTGTCCTCAACCGCATCCAGTTCAAGATGGGGATAAACAAACGTGAAATAGGAAAGGATACTACTGGTTCCGTGGTATCGAAATTCAGATTACTATAGCACAATTGTTATTACATGCTTTCTTAATTGTTTCAAATTATTTAATTTAGTTAGATAAACAATGGTTCGTGAACAAAACACAAATCTTGAGCATTTGTATGTTGATACATTTACCTTAATTCATCTAGGTCATGGGGAGGCTTCAGATGTAGTTCTTGTTGACGATGATTTGAATGTACCAACTATGGGAGAAAAACAAGAAAGTTTAGAATTATTAGACAATGAAAGACCGGAGAGCCATGATAAAGAGGAATCTTCTCTAGATCCAAAGCCTCCAAGTGCAGACTCAGTTTATATTTTACTCAAGCAAGCACTACATGCCGATGACTATGCCCTTTTATTAGATTATACAACCAAAATGAGAAGGTAATAGCTTTCGTAGTTCGTATTGATTATATAATACTGAAGCATGACGATAACTGTTAATGTGGATTATACAACTGGTGTTTTAGGTCATTGCAAAGTCTCTCTCACTGCTGAATCCATCTGGTGTTTGAAGCTCTTACAATCTCTCATTTGTATCATTCAGTAGAGGTAAGATATCTAGCGGTACGCTGTATATGCTGGATGATCTCTTGGTATAGCTAATGGATTTGTACGCTTTATTTTTTACTACAGGGGTGCAATTTTGGCATCTGCGCTTCCATGGCTTCGAAGTTTACTTCTTCAACACCCAAGTGGTATAGTGTCCCAAGAATCTTCTTTGAGTGCCTTGAACTCCATATATCAAGTAAGAAACTTGTTATAAGAATCTTCTTTGGGAATGGCATGTTCATGTGCGGCTTATATTACTATTTGGTTTTCGGATTTCTGATCCTCTTTGTCGTAAGAAATCCTGGTAGTTCTTTTTCTTTTCATTGAATCTTAATGGGTATGCAACTCATTGAGTCCAGAGTTTCAACTTTCCATTCTTCAGCTATTAAGTGTCTTGGACGTGCATTATACAGGGGTAAGAGCACAGGTGTTAGTAAAGTTTGTGGCAAGTGAAATATTATTGAATACCTAGTTAATGCAAGCTTTCTGAATAGGTAATTGACCATGTTGATGAGAATGTGACAATAAGTCTCCTTATTGATGAGTCCTATACAAGCGACGAAGAGGAAGAGGAACCTGATGGCGCCCTTGATGGTGTTAGTGATTTTGATGGAATTGAGGACACGAGTGAGTGATGCAAATTTTGAGATTCGTTCTGGTTGTATTCAGAAATGGCCAATATTGCCCGAACCAAACTTATTGCTAATTGTACGAACCACATGAGCATTCCATATGAATGAACCTGCTTGCCTATCTTTCCAGTTTAAAATGTGTTTAGACTTATGATGAAGATGCAATTTAGAAGGAATATATAGAGAGAAGGGAGAGTCTGGTGATGTGTTTTGCTTGCTTTGGACCTTTAGTTTTCTGCTTGAGAAAACACAGCAAAGCACCCATTGACAGCATAACAGAGAGCAGTAATGCTTGTAAACAGGTTTTCTTTCAGTTTTTTTGTATTTCATTTAAAAAAGGGGACCAAGTTTAATGAGTATGAGCCGTATGGCTCCTGTGGGACTGGGTGGACTGTGGAGTAAGAAAAGAGAGCAACTTACACGAGACCACGTTGATTGGTATCGGGCATTCTAATGAAATAATAAAATCATGCATTTTGATGAAATAATGAATTCTCATGTGAAGAGAAATTTATATATCTAAATACTTTATCATATTGGCCACTTAGTACTACGGTCTGGTAGCATTTTTCTTTACTTGTAAGTGAGAGGTTTTACGTTCGATTCTCACCAAATGCAAGTTTTTGGTGTCATTCTAAATTGATTTCAATCTTTTTAAACATTTCAAACAAGTATTGATAGGATCATATTTATGCTACTTAGTTATGTTGTTTCCTTGCATTTTGTTCGCTAATTACTATTTATTATAGTGTTTTAAGCTATTTTCGTGTGTTTGTAGGTCCTAATGGCAAAGTTGGCAAGAAAGTGCATTTTGGAGCCATTTGGAGCAGTTTTGGGCATGGAATGGACAGCTTTGCATTTGGAGCAAGATGGATGGACGAAATTGAAGTCAAGAGAGGCTAAGAACATGTTACAAATGAGGAGAAACAAGTTCAAAGACAAAGAAGATAAGGAAAGAGCAAGAAATAAGGAACATTATCCAACCTTATCCTATCCAATCCTATCTTATCCAACCTTATCTTATCTTATCCTAACCTAATCTTGTTCTACCTTAATTCTAGCTGCAAAGAGGACTTAATTTCACATTAGAACACCTAGATATATGGTTCTAGAACACCCTATCTGTTCCTAAATAGGTGCCGCACCCTTTATCCCTTCTAGAAGTCCAATTTCTGCCACAAAACATATTGTTTCTAGAATCCCCCTAGAAAGGTGGCGCCTCTCCCTCTTCTAGAAGCTCTAGAACCTGTAATCCTTTTCCCTTTCTTCCTTGGTCTTTGCCGTGGAACCCTAGTCCTTTTCCTCTAAGATTGTGCAAACCTTTTCCCACCTGATTTCTACCACACCCTAATCTGATTTCCCTAGGTTTAAGCCATGTAACACATATATATATATATATATATATACATGCTTATACCGCAAAAAATATACCATCCATTCACTCATTCACTCATTCATACATTCATCCATCAAATACCATAATTCACACCACATCACCCTAGTGCCGCAAGCAAGGAAGGAAGGAGAAGAGGACTTGTGCAATCTGCGATTCAAAGGGAGTACCGTGGATGCCATTGGAGTGTGGAGCGTTTCTTGGTTCTTTCTGTCCTTAGTTTTAGTTCAATGTTTATGTTAATTTGGTTTTCAATTATGATGAACATGTGGAACTAATTTCTTTTTAGTTAGAGGTGAATTCGAAGCCATGATTATATGTTTTATATGAATTGATTACATCTAGTTATTGTTTCTTAAGCCTTGAATGTGATTTGCTTATCTGAAGTTATCAAAACTTGTTTATGTATGTTGATTGGGGGTTGACACTTAATTTGCATGCATGAATTTGATGCTAGAGTATAAGGGAGTTTCACCTAATCATTATGAACTTATATTCACAAGTAGTGGAAGCCACTGGTCATGACTGTGTTAAGTAAATCCTTGGTATGAGTATCATGCTTTTCATAGTTACAAATGCCTTGTCAATGCTTATGGTTTTCAAAGAACTTAATGACCTTTGATATGATTTTCTATCATGCTTTTCATAGTTAGGGAACTTGAGAAGGATACTTTGATTGTGATGCATATCCCATCCAATTCAATGAATTAAGGAAAATCTGAAAGTTAAGTTGTGCTATCACGGTTAATTTGGGGCATTGTCATTCATAGTCTAAAGGAATAATAACTGGAAATTGGTTTGTATGCATATGTCATGTGTGGAGAAGGACCCTCTAACTAGCCTTTCACCCATTTAATTCACCCAAATTTGTTTTTACAAAGTGTTTTATGCAAAGTTTTTGTTTTAAGTTTTAAATTCGTCAAAAACAATCCCCCTTTCATTTAGTCTTGTTATTTGAGTCAAAATCTGTTTTCTTTTAGTCTTTTGAGTCAATTAAGTTTTATTTTCATCCAAATCACTTGTTAGGTCTAAAATTGAGTCTTTTTTATTGTGTGTTGCTGTTTTGAGTGTTTTAAGTTAGTTTTGAGTCTATAGAGTCTAGTTTAGTGTTTTTGAGTCTTATTTATGTTGATTAGCATCCCTAGTTAATCCCCGGTCTAGAACGATCCCTACTTGCATATATACTACAATTGTCACAAATAGGGTTTAATTTGTGTGTCAAGTTAATTTTCACATCAAATTTTGGCGCTGTTGTCGGGGATTAGCACTTGCTAATCCCTTTTGTTTGTGTCGTGTCAAAGTGTGTAGTATGTTTCTTTGTGTCTTTTTGTTTATGGTTGCCAGGCCCCTTTAAAGTGGTTGCTGATTTGTTTTTGTTCTTTGTTTTAGGTACTAGTTTATGACTCGTCGTTCTCAACCTATTCGTGCAAACATATTGGATTTTGACGACAATTTTGAATGAACTTTGAGAAGAAAGAGGAAGCAATCGGAACCTAATCCGCCTAGTTCAAGTTCAGAGTCCGAATCTAAATTTGAAGAAGAAGAAAGCATGGCAGCGGACAATCGAACAATCAAAGAACTTTCGGCCTCGGGATTAGACAATGTTGTGCCTTTATGCATTCAATATCCTATGGCAGCTCAAGGCAAGACCGATGAGTTCGAATTAAAGTCTAGCTTGTTGCATCACATTCCCAAATACCATGGGCTGTCCATGGAAGATCCAAACAAGCATCTTAAGGAGTTTGAAGTGGTATGTTCAAGCATGACACCCATCAACGTTGATGGGAACATTTTGAAGATGAAAGCCTTTGCATTCTCTCTTTTGGAAAAAGGCTAAAGATTGGCTATACGAATTGGCACCTAGAACTGTCACTTCTTGGGAAAGCATGAAGCAGGCATTCTTAGAGAAATTCTTCCCAACGTCAAGAGTGATTTTTTGAGAAAGAAAATTAGTGGCATTCAACAAAACCAAGGGGAGTCTTTTCCAACGTATTATGAACGTTTCAAGACTCTAGTTGCATCATGCCCTCAACATCAAATGAAGGAAGAACCTTTAATTCAATATTTCTACGAAGGACTCCTTCCAATTGAGAGATAAATGCTAGATGCCTCGGCAAGGGGTGCTTTGGTTGACAAAACACCGGTGGCTGCCAAGGTCTTAATTGCAAATTGAGCCTTGAATGCACAACAATACGAAGGTGTTGGACAAAGAGGCACCCCACGGCAGCAAGTCCATGAGGTAAGTTTAATAGCCGAAATTCAATCTCAATTAGCTAACCTCATTATGCTTGTATCTCAGGTTGCTGAAGGATGCAAGGTGCAAGGAATTACACCAAATGTGTGTGGCATGTGCTCTATGCAAGGACACCTCAATGATCAATGCCCTCAATTGATAGAGAATGGAGGATGGGAAAATACCAATGCCATAGGTTTTTAAGGCCAAAATCAGCAAAGGAATGATCCATACTCAAATACATACAATCCGGGATGGAAATATCATCCAAATTTTAAGTGGAGAGAGCCTCAACAACCTTAACAACAAAGAGGATTTCGTCCACCACCTCTTGGGATATATCAAAAGCCATTCACACAATCTCAACCTCAATCACAACCTACCCAACAAAATTTAAGTTTGTCAATGCATAATGATAATGTTCTTCAATTACTAACTACCTTGTCGCAGGGCTATCAAAATCAAGCCAAGGATATGGGAGAATTGAAGAAGCAAATGGGGCAAATGGCGGAATTCACGGGCCAATTCAGAGAGGAAGGTAAATTGCCTAGTTCAACAATTGTCAATCCGGATGGAGGTTTTGAAACCGCCAAGGCAATCACATTGAGAAGTGATAAGTAGGTTGGAACCACCCCAAAACCGTCCAAAACAAGCCAAGAGGAGGAAAAGCTGCTGCAAGAAGAAGAACAAGGAGCAAAGGCCACGGCAAAAGAAGCCAAAACCTTGCCGTAGCCCCCTAGTGCACCAAAACCGTCCCAAACCACCAAGGTAAGTCCAAATTCGAATTCTTCTAGTTCTATTCCACTAAATGTGCCCTTTCCTAGTAGGTTTAAGCAATCAAAGAAAGAAGAGAATGAGAAAGACATTCTGGAAACCTTTAGGAAAATTCAAGTCAATATCCTGCTCCTTAATGCAATCAAGCAAGTTCCTAAGTATGCTAAATTCTTGAAAGAGCTTTGCACAACAAGGAAGAGGATTTTGAACAAGGAGGTGGTCCAGGTAAGTGAGAATGTTTATGTGGTGTTACAAAGAAACTACCACCTAAATGCAAAGATCCGGGTAGTTTTACAATTCCTTGTATTATTGGCAATATTAAGTTTGAAAATGCTATGCTAGACTTAAGAGCTTCAATTAATGTCATGCCTTACTCAATTTATGCATCTATGAACTTAGGAGAGCTTAAAAACAATGGTGTGATTATCCAATTGGTCGATTGTTCTAATACCTATCCAAAAGGAGTTTTGGAAGATGTTTTGGTGCAGGTTAACAATTTGATCTTTCTAGCAGACTTTTACGTGCTTGACATGGAAGATTCAACCCATTCTCCACCATTGCCGATCCTACTTGGGAGACCTTTCATGAAAACAGCCCGCACCA